AGTGGGAGAGAGCCAAAGCATAAGAGACTGTTAAAAACTGAGAACTGAGGGTTGATGGGGGGGTGGGAGGGAGGGGAGGGTGGGTGATGGGTATTGAGGAGGGCACCTTTTGGGATGAGCACTGGGTGTTGTATGGAAACCAATTTGACAATAAATTTCATATATTAAAAAAAAAAATCAAGCTATGTCTTAGTTGTCACCTTTGCCTAGGTCCATTGTATTTTCTTATTTCCTGATTTTTGAGTCTGCTGATATTATATGTGACGGATCCCTTGTTTGCCTAGGCCTAGGCTATCTGTTTCTTGCATATTAACTGATCCATTAGATAGAATTTCGGTTAGGCACTGCCTTCAGTGATAGCTATCCCATCTGACTAAAAACTGTTACGAGTTGCCTATTTTTTATAATTTTTTGACTTTGCTGATTATATAATAAAGAAATAGGCATTAATCAAAATTTAAGAAAAAAAAGCATAAAGAGTAGTATCATCCTCTGCCAATATTTTATCCAGAGATAATTATTGTTGAGACTATGTGCTACCAGAGATTTTTCTAGGTATCCTCGTGTTTGAGTGTGTATAATATGCACACATTAAATGTATTTGCATAGTGTACAAATGCAACCATACCAAAGCTGTTCTGTAGCTCTTATTCACTTGTGCATCATGAACATTATCCCCTGTTAATGAATATGTACTTATAATATTTAATAGTCACATAACATTTCATTTTATGGATATACTATAATTTATTTCAGCAATCTTCTATTGTTGAACATTCAGAAAGCTCTTACCTAGGTTTTTTTTTCCTTTTAGAAATTAGGTTTAATTTCTAAAAGTGGAATTTTTTAGTCAAAATGAATGTATGACATTGAGGATTTTTCATTTATATTGTTGGACTGCCTTCCCAAGCCTCTGTATCTGTTCATATTCCAATCACCAGTGAGTGAATTCTTCCACTTGGAGGCAAAAATGAACAGTATTTCATGATTGTTTTAATTTGCACTCCTTTAAGTGAAATTAAACACTGTAAATGTTCGTTGGACATTTTTTTTTCTTTTGTGAATTTATGGTTCATAGGCTTTGCTCATTTTCCTATCGAAATACTCACATTTTGTCACTGATGTGTAGGTGATCTGTGAATATTAAGTACATTGATCTTCTGTTTTTCGTTTGTATTTTAAAAACTTTTTAAAAATGTTTTTTATTTATTTTTGAGAGGCAGAGAGCACGAGTGGGGGAGGGGCAAAGAGAGGGAGACAGAATCTGAAGCAGGCTCCAGGCTCCGAGCTGTCAGCACAGAGCCCAACGCGGGGCTTGGACTCACGAACTGCGAGAGCAGTCAGACGCCCAACCGACTGAGCCACCCAGTTGCCCTATCATTTATATTTTAAAGAGAAATATCAAAGCACAGTGATGATAGACTCTGAAAGCAGAATGTCTAACTGGCGTAGCAGTTCTGCTACCTGTTGGCTGTGTGACCTTGGACAAATTACTTAACCTCGTTGTAGCCCAATTTCCTTACGTGTAGAATGTAAAATATGTGCATGTGTGTATATAAACATAGAATCGTGTGTGGCACATAGAAAGTACTTCAGCCAGGCACCCCAATCTGGTCTTATCCTTTGTGCTTTCTTCTGAATATCCATAAACTGAAGTAACTCCAGTTAATTTTTTCTAATTCTGGCTGCCCCCTAGGATTATAGGGCTTAAACACATTGGAGAGATCTGAAGTCAGGCTATGGTCACACTTTATTCATGCATACTTTACTCATAGATTCAAACTAATGAGTAATGTCATGCAAATAGACAATCAAATAAGGCCCGATAACCTACTCCCTTCACATAGCCAATGTTTTTTGATGGCTTTGGGCTTTTGTTCCTTTGTCAAATGTGATATAGCTGCCATTTTTAAGAGGGTATGTTTGTTTCTTAACAATTCTTAATGAATTAATAAGCATTCCTTCTTTACCAAAAATGTATTAAATAGCTGAGAATGACAAAATTGTATTGACTTACTGATGTTGAATTTGGAAGTTGGTTCTTGGATTGAGTATCTGTTTTATCTGGGGGTTTTGCACAATTTTAGTGCTTTCCATGATAGGAAGCAAATACTGCAGTATTTCTGGAGTTTGAGCTATTCTTTTATCCCTGTAGATTCTTTTCTCATCATCTGTCCAATTTATGCCAGTCTTCTTGCTTTGGAAAGAAGTACATTCTTTCATTTTTCTTTTCAAGTTGTGATGCAGATCTGTGGAGCAACCACAAAAATATGTATAAATACATGAACTGAATTGACTCAACAATTATTTATTGAACATTATGTGCCAAGATCTACCTAAAGATTCTTATCCATTTGGAGCTCATACTTTAATTACAGGGTCAGAAAATAAGCAAATCAAAAGTAAAATATATGTCGGGATAAAATTTATGAGGTAAAATAAAGCTGGGGAGGGGAATAAAGAATTCTTAGGGGAGAGATTTTTATTTTTTTTTTTTAAGGCGTTCAGGGAAGGCCTCCCTGTGAAGCTGACATGTCAAAGGAGTTAGGGAGTGAGTCAGGCAGATACCAGAGGGAAGAGCATTCTAGGCAAGAGGAAGAGTAAGCGTGAAGGCCCTGAGCTAGGTTCATGGTTGTGCGTTGAAGGATCACCAAGATGGCACAAGTGGCTACAGCAGATTGAATCAAGAAGAAAGAGATAAGATAGCAGCTCAGATAGGTAATTTGGACGCTGTTCACATGAGGCCTCACAGGCCATTGTAAAGACTTTGATTTTACTAAATATGAAATGGGGAAGCACTGAAAGATTTTGAGGAGTGTCACGATCTAAGATTTGTTTTAACAGGATCCTGCTGTTATATAATCCTATACAGTAAAACCTTGGATTGCGAGGAACTTGTTCTGTAAGTGTTCCGCAAGACGAGCGAACATTTCTAATAAAATTTTAACTTGATAAACGAGCGGTATCTTGCAATACGAGTGGTAGGTGATGCCGAATGTCATATGATCACAACTGAGCCAATGGTTCTTGAAATTTGCTTTGAGAAATGAGTGCTTTGGATTACAACCATGTTTCCAAAACGAATTATGCTCCAATACCAAGGTTTTACTGTATTTTGAGATTTTTCTAATGAATTAATGTGGGATGAGAGAAGAGAGGAACCAGTGGTGACTCCAAAGCTTCTCATCTTGGGAAACAGAAGGATGGAGATATGGGAAAAACCATGGGAAGAGTATGTTAGAAATCCCTTCATTACATGATATGAAGGAATTGTTTATTTTAATTATGATAACTAGTATAATGTTTTAAAAAAGTGTTTATCTCCCCTCTCAATTACTAAGACTACCACCAAAGAAAACCCAGAAAGTAAGTGTTGGTAAGGATGTGAAGAAATTAGAACCCTGGAGCACTATTGGTGGGAATGTAAAATGCAGTCACTATGAAAACCAGTATGGTGGTTCCTCAAAAATTGAAAATAGAATTACTATATGATCCAGCAATTCTACACCGGGGTATATGCCCCAAAGAGTTGAAAGCAGGTTTCAAAGAATTATTTGTATAACCATGTTCATAGAAGGAGTATTATTCACAGTAGCCAAAAAGGTGGAAGCAATCCAAGTGCCCACTGATGGATGAATGGATAAATAACATGCTATGTACCTACAATGTAGTATCATTCAGCCTTAACAAGGAAGGAAATTCTGACACCTGCTACAACATGGATGTAACTTGAGGACATTATGCTAAGTGAAACAAATGCTAAGTATTTGTCTTCCAAATACTTGATTACACTTAATATAAGGTACCTAGAATAGTCAGAGTCAAAAAGACTCAAAGTAGATACTTGCCAGGAGCTGAGAGGAGGGAGAAATGGGGAGTTGCTTAATGGGTATAGAGTTTCAGTTTTGCAAGATGAAACAATTTTGGAGATTGTGTGCACAACCATGTGAATATACTTAGCAAAACTGAACTTTACACTTCATAATGGTTAAGACGGTAAATTTTATTTCATGTACATTTCAACACAATTCTTAAAAATTCAGTGTACGCAGGAAGAGAGATAAGGGATAAAAGGAAACCATGAATAAAGCCTGAAGAAGACTAGTAGACATTTTAAAGGATGTGGTAGGATTACTTAGGATGCTTAAGGTGGTATGTAGACCACAGAAGAAAAAGGAGAATACACTTAGAATAAAAGCAAGAAATAGGTTATGCTTTGTTAAAAAATAAAAAGTTTATCTAGTTAGAGACCTACATTGAACTATTTATGGGCAAAATGACATGATTTGCTGAACTTGCTCTAAATGCTTTAGATACTTTAAATGCTCTAAATAGCACACACACAAAAAGTAGTGGGCATATAGATGAAAAGTAGTGGGCATATAGTGGGCAGGATGCCGATGACTACTAAGGGTGGGTCATGGGCACCGGTGGATTCATTATTATATTCTACTTTTGTTTATGTTTGAATTTTTCACAATTTGGCTTTTTAAAAATGGAAGCGTCCATTATTAAAAGTGAATGTTGCAGGGCACCTGGGTGGCTCAGTTGGTTAAGTGTCCGACTTCAGCTCAGATCACGATCTCACTGTTCAGAGCAGGACAGAGCCTGCTTCAGATCCTCTGTTTCCCTCTCTCTGCCCCTCCCCTTCTTGCGCTTTCTCTCTCTCAAAAATAAACATTAAAAAAAAATTTAAAAGCGAATGCTGCTATATTTTGAGAAAGTGAGAAAGAGGGTAGTCATTAGAATTATGTCCCTGAGGAAATTGATGGGTACGAGTTCTAGGGCACCACTGATACCTGGGAGAGAAACATTTGGACTTCATTTTTAAAAATTTCAATATCCCCCAAAAGAGAGAATAGTATAAGAAACCCTCTTAAATCCATCACTCAGCTTCAATAACTGGATTTCCTTTTGCTGTTAGGATTGACCAGTATTTAGAGTCCGTCGATGGCACTAGATGAAATGTTTATAGGCAGCTAATAATATGAATCTGTGCAGGGAAATCATGTTCTGAGGAAACAGAAATGATGCCTGGAATACCATGACTCACTTCTGGGTGTTGGTGGTCCAGCTAAATAGAAGACTGGATACTGTGTTTGTTTACCAAATTCGAAGAAATAATTTGGATATAAACCTGTCTGCCAGGATTTATTGTGAATTTACTCCTCCCCTACTCTTCTCAGTCAGCTGAATCTCTGTATTTGTACCATAGCTCATCAGTAAATATGAACTCTTCCAGAACTGAAGTCTGCCTAGATCTCTCACTATTCTCTGACAGAATTCATCTCATTTCCCACTTGGTAAGTTCAGTAAGGGGAAAGGACAGAATTCCTTCTGTAATAAACAGATAATGAAGCTAGGAATTTAGAGGAAAATGTACAGCTCTAAATGTATATATTGTAAAGAAAGGGGCAACAGAAAAGAATTAAAGACAAGTCCCTCTGAAATGACTTCAGTAAAAAAAAAATTGTAGAGTTTTTATTCGTATGTCATCAAGATTTATGAGGACATATGCCTGTAAGATAATGTAATCAGTAAGTGATGAGACTCTCGGCTCAGCTCAGGAAAGGCTGAATGAGGCTGAAAAACATAATTTTTAGTACCTGTAGGGGGGGGGCACTGAAAAAAAATCTCCCTTTTTCAACAAAATTCCATGAAGACTACCTGTCTCCACTCTCTCTCCTATTTTAAAATATACTTTAATTAGATTTGTGCTTCTGTCATTCTACTGAAATTTCTCTGATCAAGATCCTGAATAATACTTCCATGTTGTAAAACCCAAAAGTAAATACACTTCATTTATCAGAAGCATCAGACTGAGTTGATTATTGCCTCCTCTTTGATACACTTTCTTACTTAGCTTCCGGGACAACCCATCCTCTTGGTTTTCCTCCTAGCCCACAAGGCGCTCCTTAGGCTTCTTTTGTTGGTTCTTTTCTTTTTCTGATCCATCAGTACTGGAATTCTTAAGGATTTCCTCCTTAACCCTCTTCTATTATCTGTACTCATTTAGAAGTCTTGTCTAGGTTCACACCCTAAAGTACTATCTTTATCTGAAAATTCCCAAATGTACATCTAGCCCAGACCTCTTCCCTGAACTCGACTCCTATCCAACTGCTTAGTTAGTACCTGTATTTCAGTGTCTGAAAGGCATTTCTTTTTTTTTTTTTTTTT